ATCTGTACTCGGCTGAAGGAGGAGGTGGGCTGAAAGGTCAGCAGACTGTTTGTCTTACAGTTTATATACAGTTCATTCTAAAGCTCGGTGAAAGTTTAAATCCCCTAAATATACTGCTGCAGGTCTGACTCCGCTGCACATTATTTAAAGAGAAGCAGTTTTACTTTGTTCCAGTAGAACAACAACTTAACGCGTACAGTGCTGGTCTGAAGGGTTTTTTTTTCATCGAGCATACAGCAAAGATTTGAGTAAGTAAATGCAACTTTTCAAAGTGTGGCTCGGGGTTTGTACTTGGCAGTCCAAAAGTCCCGCTCTGGTATGCACTGTAAAGTCAGCAGAGTGAGCGAATGCGTTGTCTTTTTGCCAACACACACGCACTCACACAAGTGCCTGATGTGTAACAGTGCAACAGTGCTGCACGGCACGGCCGAAACTTTACACGGGGACTATAAAACAAAGGATGGATGTTGTTATTTGGCTTCACTGATCGGTAACCAGGCTCAGCGGTCACGTGACGGCGACTGTCAAGCCAGCTCAGGTCTTCCGCGCGTGCACATTCAGAGGGTGGAGTTGCTAACAGATGACAGTGGCAAACATTGACAGGTCTACAGGGGCCCATTTGTTACTCAGTGCTGGTTTAAGTCATGTTTTATGTAAAGGGTCGTGGGTAATCCTCTTATATACAGTCTATGAGTAATCCTAAATAAATATGAGGAATTGAGTCAATAACAGAAGCTTAAAGAAGCAGACCTGCTGCAGCCAAAGGCGGGAATGAAAGATGCCTGCTGTTTGTGTTCACAAGCTGAGCAACGTCAGTGACCTTTAGAAATTTATAAGTTTGTTTACTTACAAAGAAATGAACAGTCTCTAATTTTAATGGTAGCTTAATTTTGATAGAGCGAGACAGAATGTCAACCAAAGATCTAGAAAAAATCACATCGCATTAAAAATTATAAATTAATTTGGATGTCATATCTTGGACGAAAACCTCCTTTTCCCAGCAAGAACACTGAAGATGAGTCGTCCAGCATAAAAATGACCCAAAACATACCACCAAGCACATTGAGGTCATTGAGGGGAAACTCCCATTTCTTTGGAAGTGAGCAAACTTTCAAATTCAGCTGGGGATCAGATAATTGTTTCCCCCTGTGTAAATCATGGCTACATCTGCGAGGCATTTCTACCTGGCAGACATGTACAGCATCATCATATCGAGGTAAAAACTAGTTTGAGATTATTTTAAATCGGTTGGTATTTTATGTTGAAAATAAGCCTCGTGGGTGCAGACATGAAACTGTAGGTAATGTCATTTTTAAAAAGGAGCAGCTCTGCTTTACAGTCATGGGATGACCAAATTCCTCAATTACCTCAATGATCTTTCTATAAAAACTGAAATATTTGTCTGAGAGATGTAAAAAAAAAATAGATGTAAAAAATAAATAAAAAATGATACTGTATGTCTTTTCAGGTTGTGGGAAATCTTGAACACTCCTCATAGCATCATGTCTGAGTTGAGCGGGAGGGTCCAGACCGTGCTGGGTTTAGTAGATCCAGACCAGCTTGGCCGTACTATGACCCACGAGCACCTGACCATGAGCTTCGAGTGCTGCTTCTCGCCCCCTCCCCCAGGTGACGAGGCAGTGGCGGAGAACCCATTTCAGATGCAGCACATGTTCTGGCTCAGGCAAAACCCGTACAGCTCCCCCGAGAACCTGCTCCTGAAGCAGGAGACCGCCGCTGTGCGGGACGAGCTGCTGTCCTACAGGAGCGCCGGCGGGGGAACGATAGTGGAGAACACCACCACTGGAATCGAACGGGACCTTCCCACCCTCCGACAGCTGGCCAAGGACACCGGGGTCCACATCATTGCAGGTGCAGGGTACTACGTGGACTGCACCCACTCTGAGGCCACCAAAGGAATGAGTATGGAGAAGGTGTGTCCCAGTTTGTGGTGGGGTTTGGAGCTCACACACCTTTGTTAGAAAGTTTTAAGCATGCTAACTCAAATAGTGTGGCCTGTTTCAGTATGTGAGGATTTTTTTTTCACGCCTTTCGATTGATTTGAATGGATTTCTGACAACGTTGTCTAGTCATTTGGTAGCTACACCTGAGAATGACCCTGAGAATACCATACTCAGCAATATTTAGACACACTACAACTATGCTTTCATCATCTCCGTCAATCTTTAGTAAAGGGAAAGAGGAAAATTAGAAAACGTATTCTCAATAAATGAACACACGCCAGCTCCTCATTTCCTGACCTTCAGCTTACAGACATCATCATCAGTGAGGTCCTTCACAGCGCTGACGGCACAGACATCCGTTGCGGTGTGATCGGTGAGATCGGCACCAGCTGGCCCATCACGGAGAGCGAGACAAAGGTGCTGCGAGCCTCGGCGCACGCTCAGGCTCAGCTGGGCTGTCCTGTTATCATCCATCCTGGCAGGGATCACGCCGCTCCAGCTGAGATCGTTCGGATACTCCAGGAAGCCGGTGGTGACATCAGCAAAACTGTTATGTCTCACCTAGACAGGTGAGATGTCACTAAAATAAAGTCATTAAGATACAGCGAAAATTAGGGTGCCCTTTTCCTGTTAAACACACAATTTCCTGTCACACTCTGACATTTAATTTGAAACTTTTTTTTATTTCAGTATCTTTATACATTTTAGTGATTTAGCAGATGGAAGGGGAAAAAGCCTGGACCTTGGTGTCCTTGGTCAGGCTCGTGAGACTGTGTTACCAGTGACTGCTTGAAATGATGCTGTTTGCTCCATATTTCCTACTTTTTAGCTGCTGAAGGCTTTCTGGTTCTCAGACTTGAGTTACAGCTGGCCAAAAAGTCCTGAGACACCCCTCATTTCTTTTTCTTTGGCTGCTATTTCAGTAACTTTATACCTTTTATATGTATACCTGACCATATTTAGAGGAATGCTTTTTTAACTACTTAACACGGGCCCATCTAATTCAGGGGATGAAACAGTGTTGTATGTGTATAACATGCAACTTAGCAAAGATCCAGTTTTAAATTGTATCTTTAGGACTTGTTGCGAGCAGCCAAAAACACATAATTTTTTTAGTTGAACCTATGAAAATGTCAAAGATAAAACAGTTTGATAGGCACAATGTATTATTTTTACACAAACAAGGTTGCTCTTAGCCTAAAACTGATAGCTTTTTGAATATCTCAGCATGATGTGCAGTGAATCTTAAAAAATCTTGAGGAAACTGAAGAAGTGGAAGTGCTATGTACAGCAGATGAACAATATGTGAAAGTCATGAACTTAAGACATAAGAAAAAATCCAACAAAAGTCTGACACAGAACGTCAGAGATGCATCTGGTCCTTCTGTTCATTGAAGCCTCATCAGAAATGGTTTCAGTGGAGGGGAGGATGTCAAGAAGCCTTTTCATTAGGGAAGGGAAATGAGGAGAAAGTGATTGAGGTATGCCAAATTACAGAAGAATAGGAATGAATATCAGTGGTAACAGGTTTCATGGAGTGATAATTCAAATTTCAAAAAGCGCCGTCTTTTTTCTGATCCGCCATGAATCATTATCTGGAAAGCATCTTTGCAACAGCTTCGTTTTTCCAAACAAAGCATCATAACTATCAGCTTTATTTTGGCCTTTTTTAAAGGACGATATTGGATGAAGGCGAGCTGCTGGAGTTTGCTAAGTTGGGGAGTTACCTGGAGTATGATCTGTTTGGAACTGAGATGCTGAACTATCCATACAACCTGGACGTGGACATGCCCAGCGACAGCCAGAGAGTGAAAGCGTGAGTAAGGATTTCTTCTGTGTGTGTGTGTTGTTCACTATTTTGAAACCTCCAGGAATCAGTGTCCAGTCCAGTAATAGAAATCCTTGTGTTTGGAGCTTAACTCCACCTTAAATCTTTTACTTTCACCATAAAGAAGAGCTCATCGTGTAGTTGTTTTTTAAAGTAACGCTATATAGAAACACAAATTTCCCATAACGTTAATAGAGCTGAATAAGTTATGCTCATGTGTATATATATATTGTTCCTATATATGAATGAAGGCTAAAAGACCGAGGCCCCTCATTTTTCACCCCACTGTTTTCTCGTGTTCAGCCTGGCGTTTCTGGTGAAGGAGGGCTATGAGGACAAGATCGTGATCGCTCATGACATCCACACCAAGAACCGCCTGACCAAGTACGGCGGCCACGGCTACTCTCACATCCTGAAGAACATCGTGCCAAAGATGCTGACGAGGGGCATATCGCAGCACCAGGTGGACAAGATCCTTATCGACAATCCTAAATGCTGGTTGACCTTCAAATAATTAAAAAAATAGAGGCACGAGGAGGGCGAATTCACCCGGCTATTATTCGTCTTCTGATGACGACTCGTAATGAATACTGATCACGATCCGGAGTCATGCATTAATGTGTTCTTGGGCTCATACAGCAACGAGCTTGCCACCGTTGTATGTAAATTTTTCTTTAATTTCACCGTTTTCAGCAAAACAAAACGTCCATTATATTTTAAAGGAAAATAATTACAGGCTTTTGAATTTTTATAGAGGCTCTTTTAGTGCAAAACATGTTCTCTTTGTTTAAATATTTGTGATTATACATGATTCACTTTGTAAGCAAATTAATAAAGGAGGCCTTGCAGGGTCGCGGTGCCTGTTAATGCACGAGAAAATCTTTTGCTCGTCAGTAGAAGTGTGATTGCAATCCAAGATAAATATTTCCAGGTGCTCACAAACACGGTGCTAATTGATTTTTTTTTCTATTTTTTTTATTGTTATTTGTAATTTCAATATCATAGCTGCTCTCTTTGTATTCGTAGGCGACACTTATGCAAACACGTTATATGGAAGGGAAATAATGAGCGCATTACTAATCAGTATGCTGCTCTGCTCTTGACACAATGTGGCTGTGTTAGATGAGTTGTCCTGTTGCCCCTCGGTGGGTGTCTGCGTGTCTATGGGAGGCTGACTGGCTGGCAGGCCCGGATGAAGGACATGTTCTCCTCTCATCTGGGAACAGGTGGCCTCGCAGGGTGACTTCGCCACATGATCAATGGCGCGATCGCCACAGCTGACTGTGCGGCGTGAACAACTATCTAACTTTGATTAATCTTCTGAGGAGGATTACAAAGTGAGCGCGAGGATTTAATACCGCACTACATTTTACATCTGAATTGACAGTCGACTCTGGAGGAGTTTAATAATCAGCAAGCAGATTGATGAGCGTTATATAACATTTCTGTCAGCGGTGGCTGTCCAGTTTTGTGACTAACCACCAGACCACCATGTTGTCTCAACCAGATGCCATGTTGACACACGCAAGAAAAACGAGTTACACTGATGAATTCGTGCATCAGTACGAATGGCCCTTTACAGTTTTTTCTTTTCAAGTTTCTTAATGTTGCACAGTGTTAAAATGTCATTTTGATTAAACATGCATAACTACAGTTTTTCAACATTTTCATCCAAATTTCACCCACTGTGACTCTTTTTTTGCCTTTAAATAAAGCACACAAATGGTTTAACAGCACTGTAAGCAGTCATGTGAATATATATATATCATATTTGCACCTATAGGTGAGTCATCACATTATAAACTTTCCATCTACAGGGATATGTGTAACCACACGAGCTACCGTCTGCAAACTTAATTCATAAAGCACGACATTTCATTCAGGGAGCACGAGCGACACTAATCAATGTGACAAGGGTACAAGTGGGTGCTGTACAAATTAAAACTGTTATTTTGGTTTTGTAATTACACTGTCAGCTCGTCGCTATTGCCCAGCACAGTTTTCTGTTTTTGCATGACCTCCTCCACATCACTGCTGATTCTGTTCGAGTTATAGAAACGGTGAGCTCTGCCTCTAATAATCCAGCTGACATTGAACTGAGCACGAGCGGTGAAGCAAGCTATATGCAGAGAAGCTCTTTTATCCTCCCAGTCTCTCTCTCTCTTTCTCGTCTCTTCAGCAGATCTGTCCGTGTTTCAATCAGCATACAACATGAAGCCGGAGAAGGTGCTGTACTTGTTATTGTTGCCCCCGTGCGCCTTTCCGCCGTCCAGCTTAATATAAATCTCGTCCCCGGGCTCCAGGTGAAGAACCACACTGTTGCTGGCGTAGTCGTAGTTCTGGTCGGCGTCTTGGGCGATGGCGCTGGCTCTCACCTGAAAGGCAAATGTGACAGTTTGTGAAACGGCTTCGTTTCGAAATCAGAACCGCGGACAGCTCCACGTCTTATCTTGATTTGAAGCTTTAAAAATCCCTCACGTAACTTTGTTTGTTTCACAATACCCAGGAAGTGTCGCTCTATGTGCGACTTGTGCGTAAAAATCTCAAAAAGTCTACATTTTTTGCAAGCAAACTAATATCAAAATAATCAAGTTTTTTTTTAAAATTTTTTATAAAGCAATCGTGAGTTGTCCTACCTGGTTGTTTTTACAGAGGTCAGCCCACATGCTTGTTCCATCCCCGCCTCTCATCAGCACATGGTAAACAAAGAAGTAAATCCCCGGTATCGAACAGGTGAATTTCCCGCTAGAGGGATCATAGTGGTTTCCAAGGTTTGTAACAACATCGTCAAATTTCAGTATTTCATATCCCTCGTGCTGCTTCTTCAGTCCTGCGTAAAAGGCTATCTTGGGGACGGTGTTGTAAGTGGCTGCACTGATGGCACCGTTTGGCCCGTTCGCTCCCGGTGCCCCCGGTGGACCCGGAGGGCCAGGTGGCCCCCTCTCCCCGGGCGGACCGGCGGGTCCAGGTGGCCCGGGTTCCCCCATCGGACCCCTGGGACCCATCCTCCCGACGCGTCCCGGCTCTCCTTGAGGACCCTGAATGAACGTGGGAAGCGACTGAACCAGGCGGTTGTCTTTGATCGGGTTGGTTGCCTTGGCTGTAGCCGTAGCTGCGGTCCCGTGGGAGTCGCACACCATTTGACAGGATCCGAGCATCTCATAGCGGGCTGGAGTTCCGGCGGAGTTCACCACCACCGGAATCAGAACCACCAACCCCAGCACCAGCGCGACGCCACAAACACCAGATGCGATCATCTGCGCTCTTCGGATTCGCTGTGATCTCCCGGGTGGATGGTCTTCCAGCCTGCCTGCGGAGGATAGGTTTGCTGAGGGAAGAATTTGACCTGCTCCTGCACAGCCCTGCAACTTATGGAGACAAAATAGTCCTTTAAATATTTGTGCGCGAAAGTAACCATCCACAACTTTTTTAATGCCTCTCTTTAAGCGTCGAACTGGTTCATCTCCACTTTCTCAACGCGTGAAAGAGCATCAGTCGTTTGGAATCGCTTGGAGGAAGATGCCAGTCTGCGTTATGCGGTGCAAAGTTTCTGCCTTCCACGGTGCCAAAGGAGAGAGTGGACAAGAAATTAACCGTTACTCGATTCTGGGTTTGAAGAGTGGGAGGAGGGATGGATGGAAGTGATGGATGGGATACAATCGGTGCGTTTCTTCAGTCAAAAGACAGAAGGTGAACGACAGACAAACACTGATGCAACTCTGAAGCACTGAAACGTGACTATTTTATTTTATAGAGTCGATTTTGAAATAAGGGAGCAACTTTAAAAAATACAAACATTTAATGCAGAGGGCTTTGCATTACTTTCATTGATTATTGTAGCGTTACATCCCACAACATTTTATCAGCGCCTATTGGAACAGCTCTAAAGGTCCTCAGCATAATTAGGACCATTTAAGACAAAAAAGCTATACCCCTTTGACACCTGGTCACACCTCAGCGGCTCCCTGTGTCCAATTTATCATTTGGAAAAAATCCATACAGCCACTGATAGAAAGAGGAGAGTCACTAGGAGCTGGCAGTGAAGGATGACTTTGCACAGATATAGTCATGAAATGAATGCTGAGGCAATTCGATGGGAAATAGGCTGAAGTTACTTATTAATTGCCAGTGGGAATTTACCATTTGCATCCATTAGTTTAACAAAAATGTTGTAATATTGTCCTATTAACCCGATTCAAATGGCCCCAGCCATTTCTCAGTGCCCCATGCAGATAAAAGTTAAGCACTTCTAAGGCTTCTGTGAGATTTGAGTGATGAAGGGCTAATTCCTGGTGAGGAGAGCAGATGATGATGTGCTCATGAATGCAGAGGATGTCACTTTGTCGATGGCACCTCGCTGCCAGGTGGGAAAGATGGATCACAGAGAAAGAAAAAACACGGATGGTCCGGCTTGTTTTGGAGGAGGAAAACTTTGATTACAAATTTTATGGAAGTCAAAATGCAAAGTGTGTTTGTGGGATTGTCGACTCAAAAGTTGCCATAAGAAAGCTGCTGGCAGTGCTAAAAGTATATGCTGTTTAAATGGTGTAACATTTCACAATGAAAATGGTGTTACTTTACAAACTTAGGTCATCAAACCCATCAACTAAACAGTTCAAAGGTTATATATTTATGCTATGTGTTTATATAAAACCACCTCAGATCAAGGGTTTCACAGAGTGCATCTGGCTTTTTACATATTCCCAAAGGCTAATCAATACTTTTCTTTCCACATTTATTTCATTTCAAAGCAACAACCGCAATGATAACCACAGGTGTAAATGCAATGGGTCCTTACATGTCAGTGAAAAACAGCACCTCAGATCCCTATGTGTGAAAAACTACACGTGTGAGCATTTCTGCAAGGATTTGTTTGTTTGTTTGTTTTATAACAGATTTAGAGGGAATAATGGAAATGGAAATAAAACCTGTATACATTCACAACCAAAGAAAGCCACATGTAGTGGCATTTAGGCAGGTGTCTGGCTCTGAAGGGCATTCACAGTCAGTTTGAAAAGTGAGCGAGTTAATGTCCAGAATACCGGCTGGCATGTAGCTCGGCCATGAAGGCTCTCCACCTCTGGCTGTCTCAGGCCAGTGAACAATAAAGGGAAACCAGGCTTTAGATGTGGTTTAAATGATTCATTTAAAAATGAATCAGTTTCTTAGACTGACAATGCATCAAGGCCTCCTCTCTATGAAAGAGGGAGACGAAGTCCTCTAACTGAGGAATAATCAACCAGCTATAACAATGACGCATTTTTGATATTCAAGATGAATCTCCTATCAGTATTCTGTTCTATAAATCGATTCTAGTCTATAGTTTCCTTTGCTCATATTGTCTTGAGATCACTCACAGAGCTGAACTACCTGTACACAGTGTTGATAAGGAAAAGAAATATATGAAGCTTAGATTTTGCTGGTATTCTTCATTTAAAGGCCATAAAACATGACATCAGTTTTATGTTTGTTTTTGTTACTTTGAAAAATTCATTTCAAAGTTGATGTTTTTTTTAATGGAAAACCCCACAAAGTGAATGTATACTCACTTGCCACTTTATTAGGTATAACATGTTAGTTTCGGGTTGGAACCCCACGCTGCCTTCAGAGCTGCTTTAGTTCTTCGTGGCAGAGATTCAACAAAAGGCTGGAAATATTCCTCAGAGGTTTTGGCCCATCAGAAGATGGTACACTGTGGTTGTAAATGGATGGACATGGTCAGAGACGATACAAAACGATGCTCAGTTGTTAATAAGGTACCCAAAGTGAGCCAAGAAAATATCCCCCACACAGTTACACAACCATTATCAGTTTAAATTGTTGTTCCAAGGCATGATGGAGCCACGCTTTCATGTTGTTTATGCCAAATTCTGACCTTACCAACCAAATGGTGCAGCAAAACATGAGACTCATCAAACCAGGGAATGTTTTTCCGATGTTTTGTTGTCCAATTGGTGAGCCCGTGGTAATTATAGCTTCAGTGACCCGTTATTAGCTGACAGAAGTGACACACAGTGCAATCTTTAAGGTCAAGGTCAAGGTCAAATTTATTTATATAGCACATTTCAAACAGCCGATGCTGCACAAAGTGCTTAACAATATAGAAATGGTATTAAAAAGCAACAATGTAATACAATAATAACAATAAAAAACAATAATAGGACAGTAAAAGAATTAAAACAATAACTAAACTAATTCAAATAAGACCAAAATGCTTGGGTCATAGTGTGTTAAAAGCCAGGGCATAGAAATGTCTCTTTAGTAATGATTTAAATTGCTCAAGTGTTTGTGCTGATCTAATATTTAAGGGGAGACTATTCCAAAGTCTGGGACCTGCCACAGAGAAGGATCTATCACCACGGGATTTGAGGTTAGTCCGTGGGATGGACAGCATTAATTTTGAGCTAGACCTCGTGGTTTTTCCTGGAGCATAGGCAGAGAGGAGCTCATTTCTTTAGAGATGCTGCTCTGCATACCTTCATTGTAATAAGTAGTTATTTAAGTTACTATTGCCTTCCAATCAGCTCAAACTATTCTGGCTATTCTCCTCTGACCTCTGACATCAACAAAGCATTTTCACCCCCTAAAACCCCCCAATGAGATATTTGCAGTTGAACAGGTGTACCTGTGGCTGGTGACTATATATTATAACTTATTAGTTTACTAGGATTGCAAAAAAGTGCTTATTAAACATGGAGTAAGTTAGACTTAGAAATTTAGCATTCATTCAGAGTCATGTTACTGTCAACCTAACAAGTGTGAACAACTTAAGTCTTTGCTTTGCTTCCATTTGTGTCAACTCTTGGGAAAAATGGCTTTTTAACAGTTAAATTTTCAACACCAGTTGCTAACTTCATCTGCCATTTGGTGCCAGCCAGGTGGTGTTCAGTGACTTTTAGAAGTACAACAGCTTGGTGTCATTTCCTATGATGAGACAAAAAGGTGTGCTGCTTTTATGATGAGCCACACTGATGGAGATGTAAAGAAAAAGCATTAATCCTCACCTCTGCATTGCACTCAACATTTTACATCTTTAAGTTTTAGAAACCTTCATTGGAGACAACTTAAATTCACAGATAACCCGCTGTTAGTGGGGCTGAACCAGCTCACCCCTTCTAATGTCTTCAGGTTTCCGACTCAGTGACATCTGGTCTGATCGTCATCAGCAGCACATTCGCCCACAATATGTGCTGGTTGCTTTGCGTGCTGATGTCATAATTTAGTCCACATAAAAACAATTTATGAGAGGTGCAACTTCCCTAATCATGATTTTAGATGATGTAGCCTAGCATCATTTTCATGCAGTGTTCATGTTTGGGCATGCAGCCTTGTCTTGGTCTTCTTCCATTAGTAGAACCATTAAAATCGTTTTTTATGGGTTATTGTAAATTTGGACTAGAGGACATCATCTTTCTGGGTGAAAGTAAAAATTTGGTGTTGCTGACTCTCTAGCCAAATTGGAGGGTCAGATGTCACTGGCACACATTGGTATTTGACAATTCAGGGAGGCCATACAGGCCACAGGATTCTCGGCACCTTGCCGTCATACGAGCTATGAGATCTTCTGTATGCCAAAATATTCTAGAGTTAAGTATTAGCCCGTTTATCAGAAAAGCGAAAGAAATTTAGTCATGCAACGGGACAATGATCGCAATGCATAGCAGAGGCGGATAAAATGAAAAAATAAAAAATCAAACAAAAATACTTTCTTGTTTGTGCATTTCTGCTACAATCAGCTGATTTCAATTTATGGAAAACAGTGGACTGTCAATAGGGTCGGAGACATGGACATTACTTTCATTTTTATAGCACAAAAGGACAAGAGTGCAAGCATCTGCACAGACTGTATGCTAACGCTAAGCTAACTTTATTTCTACCTGTTTGTGGTTCTAAAGTAGAATCACTGTGGCAATCGGTGTAAAGTCTGTTTGTGCTGGTTTTCTTCTTGTCTTTGTGTTGCTGGCTTTCTTTTCTTAACTAAGAACAAAAAGAAAAAATATAGAATAGGGATTTGTGCTGGTGTGTGGGGGTGTAGCCTAAGGTTTGTATTGTTAACTGATAATTATGTGACAATGTGTTTCAGGTCATTTTACAGCGTGATAAGGAATCAGTGTAACGAGTAGTGTAACAAAGTACTTTCTCCAAATGAGTAATTAAGTAATATACTGCATTACTTTTAAGAAAAGTAATGAGTAATGTACAAAATATTTCTCTCTTTTTTTTTTCTTTTTTTTTTTTGAGTAATGACACCAACACTGAAGTCCAGACGTCAACCTCATTGAAATGCTGTGGTGGGATCTTGAGAGAGCGGTGCATAAACAAATGCTCACAAATCTGAATGAAGTGAAGCAGCATTATAAAGAAGAGGGGGCCAAAATCCCCCCACAATGATCAGAGAGACCGATAAAGCCATACAGAAAACAATCACTTAAAATTCCTGCTACTGAGCTGAGTTTTTCAAAGGGCTGCACAGAGTCCTATGAAAACTTTCTTTTTCACATAAATTCATGTTTTATACTTAAATATACAAAGAAGAATGAATCAAACGACATTTCCAAGCTTTTGAAAATTCGATAAAGCAGGTTGTAAAGGGTAGAGTGATAGTTTGAGAGGTTTGTTAAGAGTGTAACTAAAAAAGTAAT